CACACACACACACACACACACACACACACACACACACACACACACACGTGGTCTTAAAGGTTCCCAAGGGTTGTCTGACCTGGAGCCTTCTCTAAGAGGGACAGGGCCCAGAATCTTCGTGTTTAGTAGTCAGCTTCCTCATAAGACAGGTGTGAATTTTTTTCAGAGATCTAGGGATGATTAAATATACAAGGCCTGGCTCCCCTGCTCAGATGAGAATGCACATCCGGACCCCATGAGTTCTCAGCATCTCTGTTGTACAGCTAGGTATGGTCGTACACACCTGTAATCTTAGGCCTGAGGAGAATGGTGAGTGGAGATCTTCACAAACAAACCAAAACCCCTACCTTGGTCCTGTACAGTATTTCTTCCACTGAGCTGAGCTGTGTGAAGAGTTGTGACATCCAGACTCCTTTTCCAAGAAGAACCTGCTTCCTTCTGGGCTCATACTGTAAATGCCTGGTCCCTGACTGCAGAGTTATTTGGCCTCTCCTCTAGAGTGTTCTCACTACATCCCCAAGCAATGGACTCCTTGCCCGTTGTACCAGGGAACTGCAGCCAAGGTCACGTTGGGAACCAAAGGAGTATTTGGTGCCTCTGCTACATATTACATACAGAGTACAGTCCCCCATGGCAAAGGATGAACTGGCTGCAAATGGCTGTGTTCTGGGGTAGAGGAGGGTGCTTGCGGTCTTGGCTTAAGTTGCAAATAGATTCTGCAGTACCCTTGATTTCTGGATTTACATCAGTCTTTCCAAGATACACTTATTTATTGTCTCCTTGGTGTAATAGCCATGCCCTAAGCTTGAACTGTTGGAACTTTCCCGCTTGCCGCTCACAAGCCCTTTTCACGCAAGAAATTTTTCATATGGCATGGACATACAGGGATATAGAATAAGCATGCAAATCAAACATTTACCGATAATAAGCCACTTTCATTTCAAAACAATTCTAAATACGTAGAATTTAGCACTTATTAAAGAAAGAAAATTTGCATACTGATGGGATAAATAATGCTTTTTAGAACTTTTACATAAAGAGCTAAAATTCTGGCTGAACATTTCACACTACAGAACATATATCTTTGATGTAGTGAGTTTGAGGCAAGCCTGGGCTAGATACTTTGTTACAGCCAACCCATAAACATTCTACTAGATATAGTAGCCCACTTTTTTTTTAAAGACTTATTTATTTTATTTATATGAGTACACTGTAGCTGTCTTCAGACACACCAGAAGAGAGCATCAGATCCCATTACAGATGGTTGTGAGCCACCACATGGTTGCTGAGAATTGAACTCAGGAAGAGCAGTCAGTGCTCCTAACCGATGAGCTATCTCTCCAGCCCAGTAGTACACATCTTTATTCCTAGTAATTAGGAGGTGGAGGCAGGGGGATCTCTTGTGAGTTTGAGGCCAGCCTGGTCTACAAAGCGAGTTGCAGGACAGACAGGACTGTTACACAGAGAAACTCTGTCTCCAAACAGAAAAGCAAAGCAGAGCAAAATGATGGAACATTCTAACATGATACAATCCGAAGTTACACTGATTTGATACATGGTGAAGAGTGGGGAAATATCACACACCCTTGCTTCCCATAACTGAACCATTATGTTTGCATAAGAGTAAGAAACCTTGTGTGTACAGGATAAACAGTGCAATCGATATAATAGTCTGGAATCTGAGCTGAGATGTTTCAGGTAGTATTCATTGGTAATGTTGGCATACCTGCATGCCGTGTAAAGGCTCCAGAGAAGTATCCCAAGGAAACATGGGTAAAAATTGTTAGAAACCTCAGATCTGTTGTCTACTTTATTTTGAATTCATTGTGGATTATACCTTCAGAAACCTCCTACTGTTGCCCTTTAAAAAAACAAAACAAAAAATCTGAGACTTGAGCTACCTCCCCTCAGTACAACCGGTGATGGTAGCAGGGATCACGGCAGCTGGTGCTAGCTGAGCATATACTCTGCTCCAGGCCCTGGCTAATATTCCTCATAACCACCCTAGGAACCCCCAAAGAAGAAGCTGTTGCTGGGCATGGTGGCACACGCCTTTAATCCCAGCACTTAGGAGACAGAGGCAGGTGGCCACTGTGAGTTCAAGGACAGTCAAGGTTATATAGTGAATCCCTGTCTCAAAAAATAACAATAAATCGAGGCACAGAAAAATTTGCTGGTGTGGATCTATAGGGAAAAGAACTACAGTTCAAACCCCTGTGGCCTGAACCTAGCTGTCCATGGCTAAGAAAGAGAAGGCCTTTCAAACCCCCCTTATCACAGGGACAAGGTGGGTCAAATGAGACTCCCACATGATTTAGAAGCTAGCGGCAAAGGCACTCCTGAGCCTTTGGTTACACTTGAGGGTGGCGGCTGAGACCATGAATGTGCTGCTGGAGATAGCAACTCTATTAGGGTAAGTTCACCTGGAGCCCCACTTACAGCTGGAGAAACGGGCTCAGAGGAGGGATGGACTTGGGAAAGATGGCACAACTTTGGGTGACAAAAGAGGGTCTTGACCCCTGGCAGTGTGGAAGAGGAGCTTGAACTCCAGTGTAGAAGAACTTAACCACTTACCTGCTTGCAGGCCAGCAAGATGACACTTTGCCCTTGGTCCCTCACTCCATA